TGAACATACACCTGGATAGCACAGTTTGAGTCGATAGGCACTCAAGTGTTGCTTTTGTTTCCTACTCTCTTTGAATTTACAACTTCAGTTCAAACGTGACTTGTTCATACTCATGATCAATGCAAGCTCTAAAAAGAGGAAAAAAAATCTGCCCTCCCCCAAACTATTAAAGCAAAAAGGTTCTATTGTCTGCATATTTTTTTGGTAGAGTTCAGTTATTTTCATGGCATCGTGTGAAAACACGTGGTCATCTGCAAAGAACTCAGAATGAGTTGCAGCCTGCAAACACCTAGATTAGTGAAATACCTGTGTTTTCTTCTTGCACTGGGCTGTTGTCTTCCAGCCATCCATCGAATATGATGCTGCCCTTTCTTTTCTTTTGTCCTTGGGCTTCTGCCCAGACTTCCGGTCTTGTACTACTGTTTGATTTTCCTCTACCTTTCTTGTAATTTCTTCAGTTTTTGTTGGCCTCCTGAAAGACACCTTTCATTCCTACAATCTCTTACCCTCTTGGGCTTGCATTTTACCTTCTTTGAATTTTGTGCCATCGATCTACAAAAATACTTTTTCGTTCGTGGCATTTGGCTGTACCGTTTGCCCTTTGACTTTTGTTTCAGCATTATAAAGTGTTCCTCTGACATCACACCTTTCCTTTTCCTTTCTCTGTGCATGAATCGTACAGCTTTGAACACTAGTAGTTTTTCTTTTTTTTTGGGTGCATGCAGTTTTGTCAGAAATCCTGCCGCCTTTCCGGAAGCCCTTTGCTTCTCATGTAAAGATGCACGGTTTTACAGGGTGGTTTAGAAGTAAAGTTAACATTTCATTTAACATGCAGAAACATAATACAAAGTCAGAATACGAGATGGGGGAGGAGAGCCAAAATGGTGTAACTCACACTGTTTTTCAGGCCCTTGAGTGTGTAAATTGTACTAATATAATTACCTTGGTTCATACATAATTCATTCACATATCACACAGTACTTGTGAAATGTAAATTAGTTTGGAGAGGCCGGGGAAGTACTGTAATTATGGTTGACCTGAATGCATCTTCTGCATAACGGGTGTTCTTTGTGTCGTGCTAACTTCCGATTCTCATCTATTTATGAACACTTATTTTTCTCCCAGGTTGTAGGAGGCCTAGATATCCACAAAAAGATGGTCGTAGACGTGTGACTCTGTAGGGCACCACCCAACACTTTTGCTTTCTTCTCCATCTCTGAAGATCTGCTCAAGACGTCCAGCAATGCTCTCTGTGTATTTAAATGGAAGTATTTTTCTCTGTGAAGCCACATTTTCCAACATGAGCCTCATGAAGCCAACTAAGTGTTATTGAACTTTTATTCTCTCAATAACTCGGTGTAGCACTTTAAAGTCTGAAGGACAGCAAAGATGGAAAGAGCATATCAGTGTGGTGGAGAAAGGGAAGGGGTTGGCTTCTTAATTTATTTTTCTTCATCTTTTATAACAAGGAAATATCTATCTATATATATATATGTGTGTGTGTATTTATATATAGATATATATGTAGCTTTCTATATGTAGTAGCTAGGTGGGCTTTAATTTAATATACTTGATTCAGAAACAAAACTAGAGTACAAAGTGCCAAGCAGAATATTAACAGTTCAATATATGGATATACATCCTTACTTTTATTTCACACAGTTTTATATATATAGTAGAAGAATGTAAAATTTTAACTGGGTGTTAGGTCAACTCTTTTCCTTTTCCTGTGACCGTTCAGATGTTTCTATATATTGACTGGCTGACAAAGCATTGCTTCTTATTAATTCACCTTAATTACATTTTTTGTAACACAGGAGACTAAGTTTATTTATACCTGTTAATATATTACCAGGGACTGTGTCTCTTTGCTAAATAACTTAGTACAGTTCTACTTAATATGAGAATATAGTTTAATGCTACTGCCAAGAACTAGCCCTCGTGTGCATATAGTAACTGCAGAATGCTTTGATGGCCACTAGATTTCGTCACCTAGGAATGCGGAGCAGTTACAGCTGTCCTGAAGTTAAGGCAAATCTGCTGTTCTGGATTCATTTTAGATACAGCTGCTCAAGGTGTTGGACGCATTCATGATTTTCTCTTGTGCTTAGCTTAATGAAATTAGGATCGACATAACTGTGCAGGATTCCCATCTGCTTATTTTATACAGTACTTAGATTATAAAAATGTTCTTGCCATTTAAATTCTCTTGTTTCAACCATGATAGTTCCCCTCTGCATTTAAAGAATACTACAGGTAGCATAAATAACTGGTAATATTTTATATATATATGTATATAGGATTCATACAGGGGGAAAATCTTGTTAACCTATGCCATAGAGGAGGAAAAAACTTCACGCTATCTAAATTTATACCTCTTGCAGTTCTCCAGTCCTTTGCCTGGAGAATTTTTTTCTTTTCTAGATTTGTCCATATCATAATTTGTAACGGATGGTAACTTGATATATTTGTGTGATATAAAAGTAGTGAGCCATGTTTTACAACTTTATATCATCCCTTCCCTTTTCTGCAATGGTACTATTGGCTGGAAGAAAAACATTTGCTAGATTTTTTAGGACAGTACATCTTTCCTGTATAGTAGTTTTTCTATTAAAAAAATTGTTTTATAATCAGCAGTGGAAAGTGCAGGTTGTCTGAACCTACTTCAGTCGAGCACCTGTCTGCCATAGCTGTTCCTTCAACTGAGTGCTGCACATCATGGGCTCTGTCTGTGAGAGAGAAATCCAGGTGCTTGGTGTCCTTGCATGACATGAAGTTTTGCATGTAGATCGATTTGAAATGTTCCTCTTGTTTACATAATTTGCATAATTTAAAAGATAATGTTGCCAAACTTTGGTAAATGTTAATGTTCAAAACAAAAATCTCCACTACATGTAACTTTTCTTCCTCTGGATCAGTACGTGGCTTATAATCCCAGCCAGTGGTTGTATCTGCTCCAGTGTCAACTGCCATGTGCTCTGCTTCAAGGGGGAACTAGTCTTTTGTGAATTTTTTGTACATAAGTATTTGTTACAAACATTTTAGCAAATGCTTTCGATTTCTCTTACTTGCTTGTGCATATCTTGGCTGGCATTATAGAAATTAGTGCTAATGTTATTTCCTTAGGGGGGTTGGAAGGGGAGGGAATGAGGCTTTTTTTTTTTTTTAGTTTGTGTGGGGAAAAATGATTTATGTTGAATGTTTAGTTTTTCCTCTGCATGCTACATCATATGTTGTGGGAACTATAAGAACCTTCATACTATATGAATACAAAATAAAATATTTGAACCTTGGCTGGGGTGCTTCAGTACTTACCTAGACCTTTCCTGTTCAACTTAAAGCAGCTCTGCACCCTGCTCTGAAGGAAGGAAAACTTGCTGCTGTTAGTTTTTGTCCCCTCTTTGATTATGAAGATTTATTGAAAAATTGTACAGGGTGAAGACAGTCCCCTGAATACTTCCAGGCTTCATTTCAGTGTTTCGAGACCACTTACGGTTTTTTTTCCTAACAGGCACATCTGGTTCTCTTTGCTACATGTGTGAATTGGATAAAATACCTTGTTTTAAATCCTACTAAATTCAGAATGATTGTGGTAAGTGGAAGGTGGTTTAAAAAACAAAATAAGAAAAAAAACCCTAACCTTAACGTAGGTGGAGAATGAAAGGTGGCTTCTTTCTCAAGGAAAGGTCCGAGAGCTCTGCTGGTGAAAACAATCCTCCCTGTAGCAGGCACGTCCTTTACAGAAGCAGCACAGAAGCCGTTTGCTGTTGCTCTTTGTGTTGCAGTTGTTTGGGCCTTCTGTGTGCTGCCCTCTCCCTTTCTACTGCTTTTGGTCGGGATCGGTATGCACCTGCTTTAGGATAAAGACTAGATTACTTTTTTGTGTCCTTGCCTCACTCTCCCCTTATCTTTCAAGCTAATTGAGATAAGTGACAAAAGCAACCAATGGACAGAAAATGTGCTAACCGGGTAGGTGCGCTGTTTTACCTTGAGGTGCTCAAAATGGACACACTCTCCCCCATGTAGCTCAGACTGTTGAGAGCTGTACATTTAGGTAACTCAGCAAGTCCAAAATCTCTTAGCAATTGAACGCTTGAATGAATTTAGTGATAATAATCATCCCATACTATAAAGCGCTGCATTGGAAACTCGGACAGCGAGAGAAATGCTTATGCAATTTTCTAGTGTTGTTGATCATTTCATTTGTTTTTGTTCACAAACCTAAACTGAATTATTTTGCAAGAGACTTGGTAACAAGTTTGGCTGGCAGGGTCAGGAGAAAAGGGCCCACATTTAAGGCAATTTGGGACTGTGGCTGGGCTCTGCCATCTCTCCCCCTGCTCTGTTGCATGCATGTCGCATTTTAAGGAGGAGACAGCACTTTACAGTTGTTTGTGCTCTGGTACACTGGCATGTACTTAACGTGGAGGCTCTTAGCTGCGCTAGGCTGCCCTTACAGATCATTTGTGAGAGACTAAAAAAAAAAAACAAACACCTATATAGGTGTGGATTCTAGGATTCAAATACACAATTTACCTCTTTGTCTTCTTACCATTTTTGTGTGATACATTGTCCCATCAGTAGCAGAGACTCGTTGGGCAGCCTGCCATTGAACTTTGCATTCCAGTTGACACTTCCTTTTTCCAGGAAGATACTGATCCTTGATGTGTGGTTATAAACACTTAACTACGCTGATTCCTTTAAGCTCAAACTCAAAGGCCTTCTGATGTCCTCAGAGCAGTCTCTTTAATACTTTGATGTTCACAAAGTCAGTAATGAAGCATGATTTTGTTTGAGGTACCCATACTTCTGATATAGACACAACCAATTTAATGTAACTTTTAATGACTATACAGAAATACTGTGTTCAAATCAGACAGCATGTCTGAATGAAATTAGACTGCACAAACAGTCCCGGTTTTATTCTGGGCTTCCAAATCAAGCAGAAGACCGAGTGCTTGCGTAGCTCCAGGCCTCTCGTGCGTACAGAAACCACGACTCCCAGCCCCAGTCCTTGGTGGTGCAGCTGTGCTGCAGCTCAGAATCTTTCAGCTGCCCTGCTGGCCACTGCCCGAATGTTGCCATAAACTTTTGATGGAGGACTTCCTGCAGAAGAAAGCACAAGTCCAGTCAGCAAACAAGATAACGTCACAGAAACAGATGTTTTGCTCTCATGTCTGTGTTAAAAGTGGAGAAATAAGCCCATGGGCGAGAAGGATGATCAAGGTTAGCCCTGTCTATTACTGCAAGCGCAGAGTTAAGCTTCTGCTGTTGGTGTGGGTTGGCCCCTTTGGCTTTCTACACCGTGCATTCAGAATAGCCCCTCGGGGAATACTGCAGCCAAAGCAAGAAGCAGAAAATCTTCCTCCTGCACCACGGAGAGGTGGAGCCAGAAACCAAGCCTGGGCTCCCTGCTCCTTCCCCAAACCCTTCTCTTAAGGCAACAAGACAACTCCCAGCAAGCTGCCTGCTCCAAATGCAGGTGTGGACTCACCAGGGAAGAAGGTAAGGCCCACAGAAAGCAGTTTCTCAGACTGCAAGATCTATGTATGTAACGGAGAAGATTAGATAACAGGACTTACCTAAAATTAGATTGCAAATTGCTGTTCGTGCCATTTTAATGTTCTGAAAAGATCCCAAAATATGAATTTTCCTGTAAAAAAGCAGTCAAAGTAGCATTAATGGGAAAAAACCTCCCTGTGATTACATAGTTAATAGAGCATCTAAGTTGGAGGTGGGAGATGAACATGGAATTTCAGATGAGTGGACTAGTTCCTTTTCTGCAGTTGTAATTAAAAACTCCCAAACACTCAAAATCAGAAAACCTGCAACACAGAACCTGTGCTCTTCTAAATCCTTTACAAAATCGATTTACATTTTGCAACTTTAACAGTGTAGCAGCTGTAGGAGAAAAACTGTTGGCAGGGTTGGTGGGTTCAACTTTGATTATTCGTAAAAAGGAATTCTTACGCTGTGTAGAATCACTCAATTCTAGGTGTGCTGCTGACATTGTCATCGTTCTCAAAAGTTCAAATAAATACTCAAACAGTTAGCGTTCATTAAAAGTAACACCTAAATAATTTGTCTTACTACTGCTCTACAACAGTTTCAAAAAATTCAAGTTATCGTTGGTCCTGGAAGAGGACATGGTTTCAGCTGGGGACTGTGCTCTGCCTAGAAGGAAGTCAGTCAATACTTACGCGTCAGCAAGAACTATTCGTGTCCTGGTTACGTTTTCTATAGTGAATTTTGTCTTGCCGCCTTTGCCTGCTATTCTCCCTATTGCTCTTGACAGATGATCGCCTTTCAAAGGTTTGACTAAAAGGAGAATAACGCACTCAGTAAAACAGCGGTGGTGTGTATTTCTGTAATGCTTCCCTTGTTCAAGTTACTGGAAACAACTCATTTTAAGTAATGCGAAAGGAACTTTACAATAGGTAATATATATATGTATGTACCTATAGTCGCCTATATGACTAGAAGTGAAAATCGCATCCAGTGGTACGTGACCATGGGCGTCAGAGAGAAATTCTCATACAGAACTGCAGCGGAAGGCATTCTCTTCATTACTGAGCAATTAAGGTTGAGGAAAGAAGCGAAGCCAGAGTGCACACAATTAACACCGGTAGACATGAAATGGATCGTGCTTAGACGCTGCTCTCCTCGGAGCCTGCTCCAAGGCGTCCCAGTAATACGTGAAGTAGTGTTTCTGCTGCCTACTTCCCACCCCTCGCTGTCAGGATAGTGGGAGGAACAAAGCCCATTCCAGTTTAAAAATCTAGCGGACGTATTCCCCAAAACACTCCATGTCACCTTTTAAGTTTAAAACAACGTTTACGCTGTGACAAGAAAAATCCAATCAGCCTGATCAAGTGACATGCTTTTAAGGATAAAGGTTTGGGGGGTGTGGTTGGGACATCTTAAAAAATGACAACCCTTTCCACCTGCCTGTACCTAGACAATAATTCTATGTATTGGCATGAAGGTTTTCCTGATCCCTGGGGATAAGTGACAGTGACACAAGTGGAGCGGGGGAAAAAAACCCGAACAAAAAATGTATTTGCAGATGGTACACACGACTACTTGAGTACCGCAGTAGAAGCTACTTACCATCTGTAACTTCAAACGATTCTAGAAAAAGATCATCTAATCTGATGAGAGCAAGAGCATCCTAAAATATTAAGAGATTTCTTATCAGCATGAGTGTTACAGTACCACAAGAGTTGCGAGCTTACATGTTTTCTTTACACGTATTAACAGATGACAGCAGTAGTATTTCCCCACTTAACATACCAAACAATAGTCAGCTGAAATTACATCAGCT